GGTCCCTTCCGACCCTAGAAACTATGAAACTATGAAAGAAAGAGGACCATGCAGCCAATGTCCTGCTGCTGTAAGGGTGGTTAAAATAAGCTTGAGAGATCCCAAGAAGACAGCCATGCGCCCCACTACAGAGGAAAGCAAAAACCCCGACAGTCTGTACCAACCTGACCCTGGGGTAAAATTCCTTCCTGAACCGTAATATGGTGGTCGGCCTGATCCTGAGCAGACAAGCAAGACCCTCTGGGTTTAAGCTGGTGGCACAGTCCCCAGCCTTGGGTGCAGCCAATACCCAATACCTTTGAGGAAGGCTTTAAAAAAACCCTGACACATGTGGCAGCAGGAGGGGAAAAAATTCCCCCCCACCCCATGCAGCGACCATCAAATCCCAGAAACCTGGAAAATACCCATAGCAGAATAGGCACTGAGCTCAGGACCAGTCATGTTGCTGACTCTCATCCCAAATGGCATCCCTTATAACCCCGACTCCTGTGACTCGGAGGAGTTCCTCAGCTTTCATTTGAAAATGCAAGTACATTTCTGGCCCTCCTGGTTGCAGACAGGTGGAAAATGACAAAATCAGAAGCCAGAAGGCAAGTAAAAAGATAATAAGAAATCCCATGTGTATACATATGTTTTAAATCTCATGGTTTTTGGGGGTTTTTTTGCTGCTGATCTCAACAACTCTGAAGGATCTGGGTTTCCTAAGTTCGTGCCAGTCACTAACTACACAGCCTGAGACAAGCCATCCTTTGAAAAGCCAGGTTGATGGGTTCAAACCCCTCCCTCCATACCAAAGAACATGATTAACAGTGGCCTGGTTTCCCACGTGCAGCCAGGGAGCTCATCCTGAGCAGAGAAACAGGGATGTATTTTATGAGGAGGAGGATGTATTATTAACTCGCTGCCCCTAGATGCGAAAGTCGAAGCTATTTCTGCATAGGCACCACTTAAGTCCCCAACCCTGCCACCCCACAGTTACACAGTGAACTTACCAGGGGGCATAAGATGCTGCTATGAAGAAGTAGATGACCATCCTGTCGAACATGTGTAGGCAATGCTCCACAGTCCTAGAGCAGAGATGGACAAACAGACACAGGGAGTTACACGGAGCTGAGCCAGCCGTCAGGAGCAAACCGAGACTTACTTTGGCATCTAAATAAACATTGCTTCCTCTTCTGCCCTCAAAGCCTTCCTATGTTTGTCCCATAAGAGGTACCGCACTGGTCACACCGCAGGTCCATCCAGCCCAGTCTTCTGTATTTCACAATGACTTAGAGCAGAAGCCACTGGGTGTCCCTGGAGGCAGGCAAACTTCTTTGGGAAAATGTGATATCTTTTATCAGACCAACTAAGTAGCTGCAAAAATTGTTCTTTGCAAGCTTTTGGGCACAAACACCCTTCTTCGGGCATAGGGAGAGCCTGCTGGTGTCATGTGTTCTCCACAGTGGACCAGAAGCCAATATGCAAAATGCAGGCCTGTGAAAATGCAAATGTGTGGCAGTCCTCTGTCCCCTTGCCCCCCCTGACCTGTCTCACACCTATTGTCACCCATTTCCTCTGATCCTCACTGCCACGCATTTGCATTTTCACAGACCTGCATTTTGCATATTGGTGTCCATTCCACCATGCAGAGCATACAACACCAGCAGACTCCCCCTATGCCTGAAGAAGGGTGTTTGTGCTCGAAAGCTTGCAAAGAACAATTTTTCCAACTATTTAGTTGGTCTAATAAAAGAGATCCTATTTACCCAAAGAACCTGGTCTGCTTATGTCCTAAGACCAACACGGCTACAGCCAACAACCCTGGAGGCAGCGTGGCTGTTGTGAGGCCTGCCTCAGTTACCTGAGATGTCTTTTCTTCCAGGAGATGGTGTGGAAGATGGTGGAGACAATGAAGAGGCCAGACAAGCCGAAGCCATAGATCCAGGCTGAGATGGTCTCCCACTGGTCATCGGAGAGGAAGTAGAGGATGGAGCTGCCCAGGATGCTGGGGAGGATCCAGAACTGGAAAGGAGAAGCACGCCATTTGTGCCTCGGGCTCCTTCAGTTACCTCAGCGTTTCTCTCTATGGAATAACTCAGATATTGTCCCTGTTCTGCAAAATGGCACCTCATCTATGGCTGAATCTGCCCAGCCCTGCAGAGAGGCAGAGCCAGCCACAGCTTTGTATTAGCTAAGAGAGTCCAGGGCCTTGCCCCCACGCTAAGCACCTGCTTCTGGGTGGCCCCCAGGTGGTGGGCCAGAGCCCCCTCTGAGGGTGAGACATGGGTAGACATCCATGTCTACCCATGTCTCACCAGTGGCCACCTAGGAGGTGGTCTTGGGAGCTCTTGGGGGCTGGAGATCAGAGATGCCCTTCAGCGCTGCATGACGGGGAGAAGGGGCAGGCCTCATTGGCATGGGCTGTGACAACCACCTCGTGCTCAGCCCCCTGCTCTAAATGCATTGGGTGCTGTAGTTGTGGTCAGCCCCCCGCTCTGAAAGCATCGGGTGCTACAGCTTTCAAGCCAAGGCTCCGCCGCTGGGGATGCTACAGGCTTCCCTTCGTCCCTTCTACATCTCTTCCATGTTCCTCCTTCCCAGTGGGTAGGAAGCGGAGGGTCCTGTTGTACATGTGAGCCTTTTCACTGGTTTTAAGGGGCTCTTGTGAACTACACTCCTGGCAGCCCCAGGTGAACTTTTAGTATCAAGCCCCCCTTTGCCAGAGATAATGATAGTAATAATAATTAAAATGACCATTTTTGGGTCTCCTTTTTGTCTGGACCTGGTTCGCTCATGCCTGTCTCTGGTCCTGCCTGCAATGTATTTTCCGAGTCACGGGGAAAGCTTCCCCAAAAGCAAAAGGCTTTTTTTTTGAAAGCTTAAGCATCAGCTGGGCCAAACCTTCCTGATCATCACTGGGATCCTGGAAGTGCCTTGCAGCCAATGACAGATGTCCCCGACCAAGGGGCGCAAGGCCACAGCTCTGCCATAGGGAGAGGCTGGGGACTGAGGCCTCGGGAGATGCCCTCACGGTAAACGCCATACCCTGCCACGTGGTATTTATGGCCGTACGTACCTCACTCTCAGTCAATCAGGTCCTTCCATGCCCCAACCACGCCAGGCCCTCCTGTCTTGCCAAGACAGTCATCTCCTGCTGTGAAAAAGGGATGTTCCATTTTCACGGAGACTCCGGCGTGCCCCGTGTGAGCACTGCCTCGCTGGGGCACCCTGGGTTTTCTAACCACATCGCTGGATTCCCTTCTTCCATGCGAAGTGCAAGCCAGGCTTGGAGCAAGTGGGGCTGGAGGAGCTGTTGCCCTTGACCGGTGGGACAAGAACTCTCCCGTCCTCTTCCAATCTACTCTCTTCCCTGGAGGCAGCATTGTGCACAGAGCCTTGGTATGGGAGTACCTCTGTAGTTCAGGGTTGTCAGCCCCTTGCTTAAATTGGCTTACCCCTAACCCTATCCATCGTCTGTCCCTTCACAGCCACCAGAGACCAAAGGACATGTGAGAGAGCTCCCATCCGGAAACCGGTGGAGGGCAGCATCACTAGGAAAATGGCAATGCACGGGCAAGGTGTGACAGCTCCTGAACTTTCTCAGAAGGAAGGAGGAAGAGGAGAGGGCCTGGCTGAGACTCTGTTTTTGGGAGCTGAGGCCCAACACTGCCCCTCCAGCCAGGTGCATCTGCCCCTGCCTGCCCCCAAGAAAAGGTGAAGGCAACTCACGGCATGGGTGGCACAGTTGGCAGCATGCTCATACTCTGTGGGTTGGTACCTCCGGTTGGACGGGACCCTGTGATTCATAAACCTAGAATGAGAGGCAGGGAGAGAAGCAGAGTCAGCATGAGGAGTTGCACGGGCTGGACATCCCCTCTGAGATGCATCCACATGCCTCAGCAACAAGTGCCCATGCAATGCCACATGGAGGAGGGTCTTGTGCAGACAGGCTGTTTGCCAGGCTCAGGCTCAGGCCACTCGCCCTCACATTGACACAGAGCCCACGGGACGGGGCACGGCTGGGGAAGCCCAAACAGCATCTTCACTACCCTAACACTATCCCGGCCCTTGGGGAAGCTGCCTGGGTCTCCAGTCCTCGGGCAGAGAACCTCAACGACCCTCTTGAGGTCCCGTGCATCCTGCACACTGCTCTGCTGAGCACCAGACGACGAAGCTGACGAGGCCCTGTTCTGCACCAGAGGAAAATGTGGGCACCACGTGCAGGGCTGGATCGCAGCGGCCTGGGGTGGGGGCAGGGGGAACAGCTGGCAGAGATGAACAGAGGCTTTCTTAGGGCCAGGGGCTTGGGGCCATGCCTGAGCCGGCTCCCTCCACGGGGCATCCTTGGAACTGCGGCTCTGGCTGCAGGGGCACAAGACTCTCAGCCCGGAGCAACGAGCCGACTTCAGTCTGAAGTCCAGCTCACACCGGCCCCCTCACTTCCCAGGTGCCACACGCACCCACCCCTCTAGTCCTCCCCATGGCATATCTCACCATTGCACCTCTGTGTGCTGCATCGGGACATCTCTAAAGACTCCCCACCCGAGGAGCCAGGCAGCTTGTTTAGGGGCAGGCTGCTGCCACTGGAAAGACACTACCTGCTCTTCCAGATGCTGGAGGTTTGGTTTGCTCTCTCCTGGTCTGAAGTAACGGCTCAGTTTCAATGTCCCAAGAAACAAATGGATGAACCTTCCTAGGTCTATATGCTGGTGGGTATTACACACCTGTGTTGGAGCAGGCTGCTCTGCTGCCAGTGTGTGATTTTGCCCATACAAGTGGGCAAACCTGATGTGTATCCCTGGGGAAAACCTACACAAGATAATACAGGTTGGGCAAAGTGTAGGGTTTATACATTGGGCACAACCTAACAGTCAGCACCTCCGCATGCCCAGGACTGAGACAGGGAGTATGGGGGACCACTGAGTGTCACTAGCACCTTGGCAATAAATGTTCAAGTACCCAGTCTATGAGATGTATGGGTCTAGTGCAGTGGTTTTCAACCTGTTTTGCATTTGCAGACCCCTTTGGAAATTTTGAATGGAGGTGCAGACCCCTTTGAATTGTCAGTGTGGGTATTCACATACTTCTGATTGATCATAGTCATCTTTTGCAGACCCCTTGGACATAGTCTGCAGATCCCCAGGGGACTGCAGACCACAGGTTGAAAACCACTGGGCTAGTGCAACAGCGGAGTCCCTGGTGTGCTTCTGCAATTACACAGACACTATGAAGAATGACCATGATCCACATGAGATTTCATTAATGGGAACCTCTGCTCTCACACCCATGCCGCTGCCAATAAAGCCATCAGAAGCTGCAGATGTGAAAGTAAGAGCAGGATTTGACCTGCTAAGATGTTTTCATCCGGATGCACTTAACAGGGTTTTGGTGAGCCAGCTGGCTAATTAGCCCTGGCAAACACAACCTCATTCCGAGAACATTTTTAGGAAGAAACGGTTGTTTATCTGTCCCAGCAATGATTATGAGACACTGAGACATGATGGCATTGGTTCTGCTACATTATGGCAAAGCCTCTGAGACGATAGACGTGGCTGTGTCACCTTTGCTGTATTGCAGCTGAGCACATGGACACCTGCAGCACAACATCTAAGACACCTCTTGTTCTTCTCTGTTGGGTAGGGATGGATCCTGTTGAAGGCGATGCGAGTTGCTGATACCCTGCCGAGGACTGAGTGCTCCAGGACCCTAACCACAGAGACAGTCATGGGCACCTGGGCACCTTCAGCACTGACATATGGCTGCATCCTCTGCTGTCAGATGTAGCTGTGGCTGCACAGGTCATGCAAGCACTGGAGCTGACCCTTCGGCGTTCAAAATCACCGGCCCAACCGCTTGGGCTACAGAAATCTCTCCTTGTGTCTCCAAAACACCCAGCTTTGTTCTGACTGGAAGGAGATTTATCCACACCCACTAACCACAGGGTGTCTGCTCTCTCGGGGCAGGTCCAGAGCCTGCCAACCCCAAGGGAAGTCTCGTGCACCGGCAGAGCCTGCATTGAAGACCCTGAGGCAGGAGCATGTTACCTCTCTTGCCGCCTCCAGCAGCCAACGGCATTCAGATGCCAGAGCCTTCTCCCCTCCACACGTGTGCATGGCCATTGACTGGTGCAAAGAGGCGGCTCTGACTGACGCGTGGACCAGGTTTCCTACAACCTCACAGTTTCCTGCCAGGGCATCCCGAGGAGGGTGACCATGCTCCCTGCATGAAGCAGGTGGCAGTGGATCCCCCTGCATCAGTTCAGAGGGGAAAGATGTGAGGAAGCTCCCTCCACAGGTCCCTTAGCCTTGCTTTGCACAGGGTCCAGCTGCAAAGGCAATGCGAGGACAGCTTGCCGGCTGCAGCCCTCTGCAAATCCTGAGGCAGAAGTGGCCTGTGCCCTCGCCCTGGATCGCCCGCAGCTCCCAGCCCTGCCTCACTGCCATGTTTACACTCCACTTATGCTGGCAAAACCCATGAGCTGAGCCACCAACCTGGATCTCACCTGCCCCCAAGACGCTGGCCGACTCAGGGCTGGTGGGAGCGCGGTGGGGCATATAGGACCCGTTCATTAGCCTCAGGGATGGGCATTAATGACCCCCTCCCCACACCACGGCCTAGCAAACAAAGAGAGCTTTGGCTCCACTAATTCCCTGCCTGAGCCCAGATTTCACTCGCATTCCTTCCCAACATCGCCGAACAATATCTCACCAACAACAGGACATTATTCTACAGTACTGTTGCTATGCAACTGCCCAGAGCCTCTCTGAAACCCCATTTGGGCGCTTTTCTTTCTTCTTTTCTTTCTTCCCCCCCTCCCCACCCGCTTTTTTCCCTTCCTCCCCCCTAAAAAAAAATCTATTCTGTGTAGCCCAGACCCTCAGGAGTCTGTAGTGATGTCATGGTTTCCACGGAAACACACGAGACATTTTTTTTTTTTTAAATACAAAACCTCACTTTGTCTCTCCCCCATGCCAGCCCGCATGATCATTATTAATTATTATAATAATAATAAGAGATGCTGACCCCCGGGGGCACAGGACCTGGTGATTCCCACAGCCCTGCGCGACGGAAGGGAGACTTGTCTTTCAGAGCCGGGCTTGGGCATGAATGTCTGGGAATCAGAGAAGTGAATTCCAGCGGGTAAAAGGATCCCGGCTCACACAGCCCAGTCCAG